CTGGGCTCTTGAGTGGTCTGTATTCCTCTGTCACACTCTTTGGGCCTCAGTGTATTTTACAATGGTTATAAGTTTGGATTTTATTCTAAATGCAACTGGAAATCATTGAAAGGTTTGGAGCAGATATGATCTGATTTACATTTTAAAAGATCTCTCTGGCTGCTGTGTAGACAGGAGACTGGAGGGGGCCAAGAGCAGAGGCAGGAAAACCAGCTGGGTGCTATTTCAACAGTCCAGGTGAAGCCATGTTGATCCAGACTCATCAATGGAGGTGGAGAAGAGTGACTGGACTCAGGATGTGTTTGGGAGGTAGAACTGGTAGGTTTGCCAATGGATACGATGTGGGAGTCAGCATAGGGGAGACTTCAAGAGTCAGTTTCAGCGCCCTTTCTTTTAGTTGGGGAAAGAGTTAAGTAAACTGGCTGCATAGAAATGTTCTTTTTATACTGAAGTATAGTAAGCTTTAAAAGCCAGCACCCCTCCCCAGCTCCTCCTGGCTTAAATGTGAAGGTCACAGTGTAAATGCCAATTTCTCAGGAAGGAGGTCCCTGAGAACCCTACACTACACCAAGAGCTCCCCAAATTTATTATTCTCTCTCTCCGTCCCTTCCAATTACTCTCCTTGTAGAATGTGGGGTCCTCCATAGCAAGGGCCTTGTAGATCTGCCTCACCACTGCTTCCCTGCACCCAGCACAGCTCTGGCACATTAGAGTACACGGTGCATGAATGTACAACACAGCTACAAATACATTATATATCAATATGCACATTTTACATGAATTTTGAAGGTAAGCTTGAGAATCCAGTAACATTGTCATTAGCCGTCTGTCCCTCAGATCAGACCCCTACAGCATGTGGCAGATGTTCACAATCCCCCTCTGCTCCTAGCAGTGCTTCAGGGAATAATGGTTGAGAAGTCCTAGACCAGACTATCACCTTGGCAACAGTCTACGGGTCTTGGGAAAACACGGTGAGTTAGCAAGCGATAAGGTGGTCTACGACTCTAAGCACAGGTGTTAAGAGGGAGTCCACTTGACAAAGCTAATAGTTATGTTTCAAATTCTAAGTGAAATTTTGTAAGGGGAAAGTAGGAATGAATATCCTAGGTCTTACTAACAACATTGTAAGAACTTTTCAAAAGGATCTGCAGAATAATAAAAATTTGCCTTTCACATCAAAAGGAAAGAGTGGAAAGGGGTAAGGAAAAGTAAACATGCTTCTGGTTCAACTTTTCAGCAGATGATAAAGAAAACATCCCCACTTCACAATTACAACAAATACTGAAATAGAGCAGGGCAGAAAACTATTCTGCTTGGAAAATCCCACTTTGAAGCCTTCTCTCTTTTGTGGATCAAGAGACACCTATAGCACTCCTGTGTCAATGTTAGAATCAAAATTGGATCTGCTTCAATTTCTCAAGTGTCTCTGTCATATCCAACCTCATGCTTCTGCAGGCTGGTAAGGGCGGGTGGAAAACAGCATTTTTAAACAACAACAAAATACTAAGAAGCTCAGCAGGTCACTGATTGTGAGGGCGAACTTGACAAAAGGAGAACTTGATGAACTAAGGCCTTTACCCACTAAATAAGGTCAGTATATTTACTGGCTAAATCAAGAGACTTTACAGGCTACTCTTCATTATGTCAAAAACACACCCACCCAACTGTTAAAATTAGTAAAGACGTTTCAGCTAATTCTTCTAAAACTGGATTCTCTATTTACATTTTTCTTAAACAGTGGGGACTTTCTGCCAGTGCAGGTAGATTCCAAATGTCAAGTAGGTCAGTAATAAAATGAAAAGCTGAAGAGAAACTTTAAAAGAGACATTTAAAAATGGGCTTTAAAAAATGGGCCTTAGCAGAGACCTGACTGGAACACACTGTGAAAGCCTGCTATAGTTCAATACATGAATATTAATAGAGAAAAGCTTGCAGTGTTCATAAATAGTTATGACTTAATGAAATAATTACAAATAATGCAAGTCGAAATCTTAGATCAGCTACAAGTGTCTATAATGACATTCTACCCAAAAAAAGCAAAAATATTTTAAAAACCTAAGGCTTTCCATTGACAAAACTATTTATCTGAACAAAAGAAAGAATTCTTTTGCTGAAATACCTATCACCTTCTGATTTTTTACAAATGAAAACTGAGGAAAGAGTGCTGAGGGAAGAGCAACTGAGTATTTAAACATTAGGAGAGTCGTGAGGCCTACATCTTGATTTAATAATGAAGTAGTTCTCAATGTATTATTATTAAACAGAGAGTTGTCAGTCTGAAAAAAAGATGAAATTAAAGGTCTGTGGGAAAGCAACAGAAGTTCACTGTCAGCCTATCACAGGCTTTCTGAAATCTGCCCTAATACAACTAACCCCTAAAGAACAAATAGCCTGAGAACTCTCAACTCCACCTGGCACATGTTTAATCTCAAGTGGTATTTCTCCCTTCTCACTGAAGTTCAAAAAGAGTAGCAGAGAGACCAGTGTTTTTCTGAACTCAAACAGGTGAAAGCTGTCTGAAGAGAGGGCTGAGCTCTCTAATTCTGTCCCTAATGTAGGTGTGCCAGGCACTTCTTTACAAAGACTGAGCAGGTCACTGTGCTAGAGACTTAGGAAGTACCAGATGAGCATCCCTAACCTGACATCTGCCACCAAGTTCATGACTAAGTTCATGTATCATAATGGCTAAGTAGTATTTCATAGCAAACTGTGAGCACTAACAGACTTTTTTTCTAAGTAATGTATTTATTTGTGTTTGCCTCTATGACAAGAGGACTTTCGTCTTTTCATTAATAACCCTCCAAAACAGGTCCACTCCACAATACAAAGTTCAAAACTACAAAGTACACCCTGCCTTTCCCAAACTGACGTTAAACATCTTTGCCAAACTGCAGATCCTTCTATTTCATGAGACTGGACTTAATAAAGCAACAGAAAGAGCTTCTTATTTTAAAAAGCTTTTTGGATGAAGAAAATGGACAGTAATTTATGTAAATGTATCCATCTCAATCAACTTCCCTAGTATGAAAAGGGATAAATAATGCAGATCACTGTTTCTCGGATAACGAGTCCTAACTCTCAGCCAAGGATATGGCAAAGACTCTGATGGAAATATCGGGGATGTGAATACAAAGGTGAACACAAATAAATGTGTGCATGATAAACGTGGCTGAGATGGACATAGATAAATAGGTATCCAATTGGACAGAGATGGCTGGGGACAGAGGGAAAGACACTGGTTCAGCAGTACCCCAGGAAGTTCACAGAGGTTTCATGGTCTAAAAAAATCTGCAACAGCACAATTTGTATTAAGAAGGTTTAAAAAGTTAGTTCTACCTCCTCTTGAACAATTCAGAATAATGCTATCTTAGACTATAAGAGATCTGTCACAAAATGCATTATTATGTACAAAGAAACATTAAGAACAAAACAAGAGAAAAAATAAGGACCCTAAAGGAAGATGAATGCTTATTAAACATCTTGAAATGTCTGAAGCTGTTTAAATGCTATTAGATTGGCACCTAGAATTCCAAAATAGCTACTTTCCCCTGGGAAGGAGAGGGTAGGCCTCTTCAATCATCCCCTAAATGCAAAGAGGTTTGACCCCCATGCAATGGATAAAAGTCACCCAAAAAATGAACAAAAGAGGTGTTTGGAAAAACCAGAACACCATTCATCCCAACTAACGACTTGTTCATTATGAGTGATGATGGATAAAGACTTCTCATGCTGAGATGAAATCAAGATTTATATGCATTGTTTCCTCTCCCAACTTGTGGGAAGATCATCATCATTTAATTCTATCTCTGCGGCCAGTGATGGGCATCCAGAGAGCTGGTTATCAAACGGCGCAGTCAGCTGGCAAAAGCCGAAACGTGCAGTTGGCACATCTGGACGGAGCCGCCACAGCCGAGGGTGAACAATGACTCCTGGCAAGCATCCAAATTGCTTGCAGACGCTAGCAGGTCTCATCTACAACCGCCCCTACCAGCATCGCTCTCTCTCTCTTTTTTATGAGAATCAGATTTTCATTGCTCCATTCAATTGCTCTCCTCTGCCATTTTTTACAGCTCTTATCGTTCCCCTGGAATATGGCCTTGAGACAGCTCATCCGTGTCCTTCACTGTGTTATCTCTTCTAACTTTTATTAAAACTTCAGCTTTCATCTGAAGATAGCTAATTAAATCTGGATCAGATTATATGCCTCCCCTTAAAAAGGACACAAAACTATTCTCTTCCACCTGAACAATGCTGTTTTTCCTTTCCAAAAGATGAAACCAAAGGTGTTGAAGAAGTTTCATTATTTACAAAGCTAAGATCCCTGGCATGTCATATATAGGTTGATTTCTATTAAAGATGTCTGTGGCCTTACAAATCTTTGAGCTATTTTTCAAAATAATTATTTCTCTATATTGGTAATATTTTTTTCTCATATCCTTTAAATATCACAGTTAATACTGTAAGCTTATTTTCTGCATTAAGTTGGGTATTGAGGAGTTGGACATTAACAACTGTGAATCAAATGATTTATCTTAAAAAAAATTTTTTTACAGTTGTCCTCATTTGGTAAAAATGCATTTTTCCTCTTATTTCATACCCCAAACACTAGCAATTAAAAGTTTCCCCCACTGAAAATTATATGAAAACATGAAATTAAAAGAAGTGCTTTAAATTTAGGACTGATTCAGTTTTCAAAACAGTTTTACACCAACTAATGGTAAGCCCAATTAGCTCTGTCTTAATCTAGCACAAATTATTAATGATAGAGCCTCCAAAACTGGTATTCTTCTCATATACGCCACTGACCCAGTACCTTCCTGAGGCCCATGGGCAACTTAAAAATCACTTTTTTTACAGTAGACCTGCTAACCAAACTTTCTAGCAGTGACATCTAAAACATCTAGAAACCAGCCATCACACACAATGCACATACGCAAACGCCAAGCACTTTTAATTAAGGGTTAAGCTCCTACTGCTAGGGTATAATTTAACTATCCTACCTGAAATTTTCTGGGATCCTTTTCTTCGCTTCACTGCCTTTAGCAAGATTTCTTTCATGGTGACCTTTGTATTGTCCACCTGAATAAGGGAGAACCCATGAGCAGCATTTCTGTAGGAAAAGACAAATATTAAATCATCACCAGCATTCCACCAGAGGGATGATATTGCAGCTTTCACTGTGTTTAAGAAAGTTTTAATAAGTGTACATCAAAGTGCCAACTACTTAAAAACAGGTTAAATAAACCTACTTCTAATAAGAGAGAGTCAGAGACAGAGAGAGAAAAGCATTCTAGTATGAACAGTCCCAAATGAAAGAGAGGTCAGAGTTATGGAAGGTTTTTCTAATTTATCTCAAATTGAATCTAATTGGTCTATGTGGGTCACTCATACCAGCTCCCAAGCCGAATCCTGCAGCAAGGATTGACAAACGATAAACTTGGCTTGTGTCAGTAGATGTCACTGCAGGCAGAGACTACCATCATATTAAAGCTCATGGAGCCCTGGAGGAAAGTGTCATGTATGTGTTTGTGTGTATGGGGGTGGGGGCATATGACAGCCCAAAGCAATTTAGAATAGAAAAAGAAAAGGCTCTTCCTAACTAGCCAGCAAGAAAAATACCCTATATTTATGTATCTTTAAAATATGTACTCTACGTATACTTCAGTAGGAATATTTTAATCTTAGTCTTAAAAGGTCAAACAAAGTATTAGCTGAAACATAAAATAACTACAAGGCAAAATACTAACACTACTTGTAAGCCTCTAGCTGATCAAACTTAAAGAGGGCTTCGTCTAGATAGGAAAACACTGGTAAGAAGCAAGTACCTACCAACAGCCCATCCTTGGTGAGGCAGAACTTCACTAAGACCGGTAATTGCAATCGCAAGCATCACAAACACTACACACTATGCTTGGGCACTGGAACAAAATGGGCCAATTCCAAGCAGCTCATGTAACAAATGGGACCCAAGTTTCCAACTACGGAACATGGGAATTGCCACAAGGAGTTTGGTCGCATTCCCACTTCCCCACAAGAATCTCAAAGGGGAACATGGCCAAAAAACATGGCAGAACTTCATATTGACAAGAAATATGAAAGAAAAGCCAAGCCCCAAGCTAAGCCATAGTAGCTTCCCCAATGGTAGGGTAGGCTGGGAAGGGGCCTGAAACCTAGCTTGGACCCAACCAGGTGGCTGGCTTGCTGCAGGGGCTGGGGGCCGATCTCCAAACCAAGGACCCAATTTGCTTCCCTAATACAAAGACATCTCCACACCCCTCCTCTCCACACGGCTTGCTGTTTAATCCTTGACATTCCATTTGTTAAAAAGCAAAAGCCGACGCTGGTCTAGCCAGCACAATCATCCATTTTAACTTGGTCAAGTTCTTGCTATCGAACAGCAGGCCTGAGAACTGTCAAGCTAATTTTCCTGAACACTCTGTTACTGAATCATGCCTGAGCCCTGGCCATTCTTTACCTCAGAAGCTGGACCCCATCCCAGAACAATCTTTAAAAGTTTATTTTACTGATCAAAGCAAAATAAGAAATAGCTCTTTTTTAAAAACTATATTTAGGGAATGATGCAGTAAGTGATACTTTGGCAAGAGGACTGAAATGTAAAGTGCCTTGTGCATTTATAAACTTGGGGGTATTTGCTCTGGCGCCAGGCCAGTGTGTGTTTGGAACGAATGCCAATCATCCGCGCTCAGACTCGCTTCTTCTGCTCTCTCCTCAGAAGCCAGTGTGCGCTCCATCTGTGACAATATGTTGGGCGATGGATGAGTAGGGCCTAAAAGGGAACACAAGTTCTCGGGTACTCACACACTGCACTGGGCTAGATCTCCCGAACTTCCATCCACCTGGGTTCCACCTGAACTAGTTTCGATTTGAGTCTGCTTATAAATCGCTTACATTCTCTCCTAATCTGCTGCTGGCTGATAGCATTACTTCAAACCAATGTGTTTATCTTTTTCAGCATAGGCAGACTAAAAGCTCAAAAGGCAGCCTTATGTTTGAACTAACTTCCATAAATTAAAAGTGTCCTTTTAAAAGATTTTTGAACAGAGGAAAATCCCTAGTCTGTATTTTTCTGTCATTTTACCAAAACGTAGCTGGGTGACAAGGTTAAAGCAAGCCGAGGAAATCCCTGGCACTTATCATCCACAGGCATTACTGATAAATTGCGTGGTGGAGGAATAAAGGATTACCTTCTGTATTTTTTCATTACGCTTTTCTTTTGTTACAGAATACATAAATCCATTGTGGCACAATGTAATATGTATCACCACGCTACACCTGCGGACCTTCCGAGCGCTGCCATGTCTGTGCAGTCAGGGATGATAAGTGAGCCACCCGTGAATGTTAACGATAGTGATCACTCTGCGGTAACTCGGCTCTCCATCTTCCTCACAGCCTCGCGCCGGAGCCAGGGCGGCCAGGTTCACGAGGCGGGTGCGAACAGGGCGGGAAGGGGCCCGCGCGGCCCGCGAGGCGCTCTTCTCAGGGGCTCCATTTCGGTAAAAACGCGCACGTTCGGGGAGAACGAGGCCGCGACCCACACTCTGCGCACTCAGCGGACCCAATGAAAGTTTCCTCGGGTTGGTCTCACCCTCCGCGCACCTCTCTCCCTCCAGGAGGAGGCCAACTTTGGATCTTGCTCCAAGACTACAGCACGTAAGGGGGTAAAATGTTTCTAGAACACAAGAGTCCAGAATGTAAGTGGTTCTCAGAATCCATCTAGGTGCAACTGTTAAGTTCTGCTCCCATTTAATAAATGGGTATGGAGACTTGCTACCACAATTTCCAGCTTGACTTCCAAACACTGCGTTTTATGCCTCATTTCTTCACATCCACGATTTTTAAAAAGTCTATTGAAATACATCTTTTAAGGCTGCTTTTATTTAATGCTGACCACTGGGTCTGAGGTCAAGAAGACCATGATCTTGGGGGAAAGGCTAGTGGTAGGGGGTAGGGTGCTAGTCCTGCCTCCCTTCCTCCTGGCGCTGCATTCCAGTCTCTGAGTTGTGACCTGTGCTGGCCGTGACTAGCCCTCAGATGGACAGGTGGATTACAAACTCAGAGTCTTTGACTCAGAAACTGTACCTCCTCCTGCTCCTCTTGTGGGCAGACGGTTTGTTTTCTGCCAGTGCAGGACCCTAGGGCACTGCACCCTAGAGAGAAGCAGCTGCCCTGCCACAGCCGCTTGGGCTGCCTGCGCTGGGTCTAGGATAAAGCACCACTTTAGGGAGCTGACTAAACGCTGCCAGGAGTGCTTCAGTCAATTCAAAGTTAGGTCCTGTCAAGTCTCGTAACCACTGAAAAACATATGGGCATTTTAAAAAGAGATTTCTCACTTGAGGAATTCAGCTCTGTCCCAGTGCAAAGCCACTCAGTTACCAGCGAGAAGTGTTTATACCAGCATTAACCTAACACAACATGCATTTCTCTACCAAGTACTAAACTAGAAGTGATGGGGCACAGAGGGAAAGCAGGTCTTTATCTAAAAAGCCTAGATTCTGTTTATAGGGAGAGAGCTGGAATCAGAACCCAAGTTGGAAGGCAACATATTGGAGAGGAAAACACATGGGCTGGGAGTTAAATACCCTTTGGTTCAAATCCTGGTTCCATGGCTAGCCGAAATGGTGCCTTAACACGTGGAAACCTCAGCTGCACCCATGAAACGGGGAGGGCATTTCCCAACAGAACTGTCAGGAGGAGAAACAGTCAATGAACGCCAAGCACCTGGCACTAAGGCTGGCAAAGAGTAAAGGGAGTTTATAAGTGTTGATCTCTTATGTCACCACTCCAAGAGAAGAGGCCCTCCTCCTCCCCCGTCCCCTGACCCCTCAACAGAGACTGCTTATTTGGGAGAATGGATATGAACCCTCAAAGCTTTTTTTTTAAAAGTTGATTTTAGAGAGAGAGAAAAGGAGAGGGAGAGAGAAACATCAATTAGCTGCCTCTCACACGTGCCCCAACCATGGCTCGAACCCACAACCTGAGTATGTGCCCTGACTGGGAATTAAACCTGAGACCTTTTGGTGTATGAGACGATGCTCCAACCAACTGAGCCACACCAGCCAGGGCAACCCTCACAGCTTTTAATTGGCAACACAGGGCCATTAAAACGTGCAATTTGCTGGGCATGGTGGCAGTATTCAGGGGCACTGTCAGCAAGCAATCTCTCTCTGGCCCAGGCATCAAAACCCCCTTGAAGCTCAAAGGAGAGCACTCTGGGCTCCACTGTCAAGGTTTTCCCTTTTGAGGGAGGAAACAAGAAAAGCAGGTATATTCCACCTCAGCTTAACTCACTGGCTTTGGATGGGGATGATGGAAGTCAAAAATCATGGTGGTATTGCAGAGAACTTCAATGGGACTAACAGCTTTTTTATCTGAAAAGTACAAGGTATTATCATTCAACAGTTATAATAATAGCAGCAGCTACTATCTGTCGAACACTTACTATGTGTCAGGTGCTATATTTAGCTTTAAAAATCTATATTAACTAATTCAACACTAAAATAGGTACTGTTATTATATCCACTTTATAGAAACTAAGGCTGGAGGCATTAGGAAATTTACCTGTGGTCACACATCTGTTAAAGACTCGATTTTGGATTCAGAAATCAACAATATGGTTTCCAACCCAAGTAGCACAGTCCAGTGGGAGAGAGGAAGGAGCAAACCAAGAATTCTAGTTCTGTGTGATAAGCACAAAGACGGAGGCCAGCTCAGAGTGCTGCTGACACACAGGGGCACTTAACCCAGCCAGGCAGAGGTAAGGAGGTCAGAGAAGCTTCTTAGAGGAGATGTCACAAAACACAGTTGTCATTTAGGTCTACACTATGCTTAGAAACATGGTGTTTACACCAGAAGACAGTGAAGTAAGCTCTACAGCAGAGCCTGCTTTGAAGTCCCAGCTTTCCTTCCTTGGGTAAATGATATAATCTCTCTAATGTTCAGTTTCCTCATCTACAAAACAGAATAATTCTTAGATTGTAAGACTAGTGTGAGGGCTAAATACTTCTAAAGTAGCTATATAACAAATGCTTAACAAGCAAGTTAATACAGTGGCTATGGGCTCTTCTTCACGTGTACAAAGACGTGATATATAATGATAAGGCAATGGCAGAGGTCAACATTTACTGAGCATGTACTTTGTTCATTTAATCTTCCCAGAAAAGGTAGGTACTGTTACCAATCCCATTTTATAATGGAGGGAATTAAGGTTTGGAAAGGTTAGGACACTTGCCTGGAGTTACACAGCTAGTAAGTGGAGGAGTCAGGACTTGGACCCAGGTCAGTCAGACTCTTTAAACCTCGCTATAGCCCAGAAGGGGGTACTGGGGACTCGGGAAGAAGAGACTACCAGAGAGCATATCCTTGAGATCAGAGCCACTGACCAATCTAGGGAAAAGTGCAACTTCCTGTAACAAATTCAGTTTGATTATAAATGTTCCAATTCTGGACTAACCATATGACTTATAAGGTCCCTTTTTAAAAGTCCTTGGAGAATGTCATGGTTTTATGAGCCAGTGTCAGTTTGTGGAAGTGGGAAAAGGCTACCAAGAGTGGTACTCGATTCTCTAGTCCTGACCACTTCATAATAGTGATGGAGACACACTCCTCTAGTTCCCAACCTGTTCTGGTCCCAATTCCATGCCTGTTCATTTTCTAGCACTTCAAGGTAGAAAATGAAACTATATGAGCAAGAGAAAGCCTGGCAATAACCGTACCATGCCTGCTTTAAAGCCAGCCGGTTGGGTATTACTTTATCCATAAAGAGAGTTTACACTAGTGCGAATGCCACATTCTGTTTCCCCTTGCACCGACACATTTTTTTTCCAAGATCAAAGCGTATTGTATGAGTATGTGACGTTTGACATTGGATGAAGTACTCTTTTTCAAAACAGACATTTTCCAAAAACATAACTCGCTAGACTAATGGGCAGTGAGAAGCCAAAATGACTGCCCTCCGCCTTCTCCTTGTGTGTCTTTGCCAGAGTCCTTGGGACTTGCCAAATCCGGTCATGCCTGCTTAGCCTGCTCGACTGATTGTGCCAGAAAAGAAAATAAGACACAGATGTATTTGAGCTCTTTGAGATGCCAGTAAGAGAGACAGCTAATGGCTTCATTTGGACCCTCCCCTTCCAGCTGGGCACAGGTGGGGGATAATGAGGTCCCTCTCCCTAATCAAACCCAATTATTTACTGCTCTATGTAACCACAACGACGTTCACATTCAGTTCAGCATATAAAACACACTGTGGGCTACTTCCAACCACTGCCGCTGGGTATTTATAACAAACTCAAGTGGCTAACAGTTTGCCTTGGCAGGAGTTTAAGTGTGCAAAGTTTTGCAAACTGTTTCTGTTCAAATATGTCCTGCTGAAACGGGGTCCCAGGCGGGGTTCCATAACTGTCAGGTCAGTGAACTGCATAACATCTGAGAACGTATTTGCCATGCAGTGCAGACAGGATCTGGAAATCAAACGCTTCGTTCTATCACAACCTTCTGAGAAGCATCACAGTTTTTTCAACAGCAAGACTGACATTGTATTAATAAACATTACAAGTCACTACCCTGACATGTACATAGCAGCAGCTGACAGACTCCAACATAAGCTGAGGGGAGAACAGAGGAAATCAAAATGAGACATAGTAACCAAACATGGCCAAAGGGGGTGGATCATGAAACAAATCACATTAATGTCAGAAATTTGAGTCCTAAACTTTTAAGATATATAGCAACAAAAGCAACAATCTGGTATAACTTCTGGATACCAAAGTAAGTTGATGGCTATCTGAAATGTGTGCTTTTATTGGAGGAACAAAGTGAATCCTGGCACATTTTCAGCAGACAGGCATTCCAATGAGCAAAACATACACATTTAGCTTGTCTGACCTTTACATTCTTAGAAGTATGTAATTAATGCTTTCCATCTTTATTACTTGCTCCAATATTTCTGCCACTTTAAAGAGACAAAGAAAAATCTTTTCTTTTCTCTAGACAGTAGCTGTTGCCAAAAAGGGAATCAAGTCAGATTTACAAATACAAAATTAAACAGGCTGCATATGTTCCATTTCCATCTACGAGGACAATCTGGACAATGAAAATGTTTGCTAATACAACAGAATAAAAAGAAACAACACACAGTTGGTCCTCTATGATGCAAGCAAATTTAGGAAAATGTACAGCCATATTGTCAGACCCGGTTACAAAGAACACAGGCATCTTTTTTCTTTTATTCTTCATGCTATTTTAGCACTGTCCCTTACCAAACCAGATGACCTTGCGTAAGTAACTACCTGTCTGTGAACTGCAGCTCATACGATGCTCCTTGATTTATGATGGGGTTACGTTCCTATAAACCCCTCGTAAACATCATAATTATGCAAACATCATAATTCGAAAATGTATTTAAATGTTTAATTTTTTAATTTATTGATGAGACAGACATCGATTTGTTGTTCCACTTATTTTTAAAATATATTTTTATTTATTTCAGAGAGAAGAAGGGAGAGGGAGAGAGAGTCACTGATCGGCTGCCTCTTGCACAGCCCCCGACTGGGGATCGAGCCTGCAACCTGGGCATGTGCCCTGACCCCGAATTGAACCGCAATCTCCTGGATCCTAGGCCAGTGCACAACTGCTAAGCCACACCGGCCAGGCTGTTTCACTTGTTTATGCATTCATTGGTTGCCTCTTATATGTGCCCTGACTGGAGATAGAACGCACAACCTTGGTTTAGCGGGACGATGCTCTAACCAACTCAGTTACTCAGCCAGGGCCGAAAATGCATTTAACGCCACCTAATCTACCAAACATCAGAGCTTAGCTTAGACTACCTTAAACGTGCTCAGAACGCAAAATCCAAAAAAAGCAGGTAACACAATATGATGTATATCTCTCACACTGATGTTTCTCTCTCTCTCTTTCTCTCCCTCCCTCCCTCCCTCTCTCTGAAATCAATAAAGATATATATATTTAAAAANATATATATATATATATATATATATATATATATATAGCACAATATATATATGCTAAAACTGAAATGCTGTATGTATACACATGGAAATGATTATATAAAAATGAAAGTAGCTGCATTAGGATGAAGGAATCATCAGGTAGATTTTAAATTACTTTAAATATTCTTTAAAGTTGTTTCAGTGCCTCTGAAAAGTAAAAAGAAGGAACATGTTTGCTGTTATATATACTAAACATGAATTCATAGTAGAAATAAAATGGCAATTATAAAAGCTTGAAGAGTCACACCCAGCTCACCCACAGGTACTCAGGTATCCATTTTCTGGTCAAAGGTAAAAACACCCAAAATACTCATATATCATAGCTAGCATAATCCTATTTTTAGTAAAAATCTGAAACAAAGGCAATATGTTTTAAGGAGACAGGTAGAAAAGTCCTCTAAAGCAATCTTTTAAAGAGTGAATTTGCTGGTTACTAACAGCAGGGGGTGCCAAAGGGATCGCTATTGTTCCCAGGAGATGGCCAGACGAGGGAATGTAGCCACCTTGGTTAGAAAAGCTTAAGCTGTGCTGAGAAAACACTGCCAGTTTTCTCCTAAAAAGGGGGACCTGTGGGTGAAACTCAAGTGCTCTGTAGACTTGAATGGATAAAAATTACATTCTTGTTTTCACTAACTTCCAATATTTAGCATTCCCTTGAATTATAGTCAACAAATCACAGTGGTAGTAGCAGTACTAGTGACTCGTCATGAACAGAAACCATAGATATAGTGATAGCACATTCCAGTTGGTGCAGATGTCTCCAATATCACTTACACTCAATCACACCTTTGAAACCAAATTTCAGGAGTTACTGTCAGACCTGACACTGGATCTTGTTATTCAATGTATTAATAAAGCCATGCATATTACTCTATCACAAATTTAATAATCTGATAACTTTAAATATAACAAATCCTTTTGTAGTCCTGTGAATTTTATTTTCTGCATTTACAAACACTTTTCCGAGAAGGGCTTTTATATGCTTTATGCCAAAGGCACAGGCAAGGTTAGGAACCTCTGTCGGTCTAAAGGCAGGCAACCAAAAGGAAAAATCAAATTGGATCTGAACAGAGTTGGAGAGAAAAAGAAGTATGTTAAGTCACAAAAGAGAAGTGGCCGTGATGCACATTTAGTTTGGATTCTTGGAAGAGAATTTTTGCTTCACAGACTCCAAAGTGCCCCAATATGTCTAGAGGCCTGGTTCATGGATAGGACATTCAGAGATGGACCTAATACAATTTGCTACACAAAGCAGTCTGTATTTAATGTAGGTGCAGAGGCATAAAATAGAATGTGAATGTTGTCCCCCACATCTCTCTGGAAGTAATCATTACATGTGGACTCTCCAAATAAATACTCATTTAATGAACAAAATCAAATTCAAAATTACAACGAAGGTAGAAATGAGATGCTGAGATAAGTAACAGAGGCAATACTCACATTCGAACAAAGAGTGACTCTTTGGATGTCAGACCAGGAGATGAATACTTTTCAACCAGGGCCAAAGTACTGAAGCCAAACTTATGAATGGGCTCGTTGGAATCCAGTGGGGGGAAATCTGTGTCAACCTCCCCGTCATCCTCAGCAATATGCAGGCAGTAGGCACTGACATTGTCGCTGAAAGGAAAACCAAAAAGGTGAGTGACTTGCTAAGGTGAGAAAGGAACTCAGGGACCAGAGGCTCTGATGTATAGCAAGCAAACTTGGGACACTGCTGTTCCTTACCCCAAAGCCTGCAGATACAGTCAGATCCCCAAAATTCTACTTCATTTGATAAGGAGAAAATACAAGGCAGTGCAAGGGGG